GTTCATGTGGGAGGGAGCCCAAGACAGACAATGGCAACGCAAGGTTGCGCGGTTGGAAGAGCAGGGCGTTCCCGGTGAAGCATCGACGAGGGGGTGAGGTTTGTTTCGACGAGAGAAAGAAACAGGTCATGCAAAGGGCACCCCCTCCTGAGCACATGTGTGTGAGAGTCTATTCCATGCTGTTAAAAGATGATATGGAACCCACGTCAGGGAGTAGGAAGGGGCTGGTGGAGGTGAGATTTGGGACAGGAAGGGGAACGTGCGGCGGGGCACCCCGTGCTGGGCAAGCTGTGCGAGGCTCTTTGCCACGTGTTTGGCGGAGGTGAGTTTTGTCACAAAAAGGGAACAGGTCGTGCAAAGGGGCACCCCATCCCAGGCAAGTGTGTGCGAGGCTCTTTGCCAGGTGTAGGGCGGGAGAGATGGGACGGGTGGAGTTTTGACGGAGGAAGTCGAGCAGGAGGAACGACCAAGCAATTTTGGAGGGAGGTGGTCATGGAGACCCAATTGTGGAGGAGTGGCAATGCGTTAGATGGGAGGATGGTGGCCTTGCTGGTTGCAGGCAGGTTGGGGTTTTGGAGGAGGGCCTTGGGAGGTCTGCATGGCCAGAAATTTTGGGCTGGGTGTGGAAGTCGTTTTTGGTAGCGGCAGCCTCGGGAAGCAGGAGCTGGGACAGGATCTTTTTGCTTTTCTGTGCAGGCTGCTTGGGAGCAATTTTGGAACATGTGGCCAGCAGACCCATGTTGGAGCATGCGGCATGGGAGAGGTGGGGTGGGGGTGGGGTGGGGTGGGGGTGGGGTGGGGTGGGGGTGGGGTGGGGGTGGGTGGGGGGAGGTGGTCCATCACTGGGCTCGCTGTAATTGTAGTTGTGTGAGTCATGGATGTGTGGCAGGGGTTCTGGCAAGAAACGTGGCGGTCCCCTTGAGTACCAAGGAAGGAACAGGGACTTGGGGACAGCCTTAGTTGAAGCTGCACCGGCCAAAGTCCATTGAGGCCGCACAATGGCAAACAAGTCAATCCACAGATCGTGAACCCCCTTAGTGATGCCACGTATGTGGCAGAGGAAAAGGTGTGTGGTGCAGGATATTGCAGATGTTCACACTACAGTTGCACACATCTGGATAGCTCTGCCTCATATGGCCCTGTTGGAACTTTTGATCTGCACTGATTATGAATGCCCAAAACGTCAGAGGAACGCTACAAATCTCGCACATGCATTTAGATATGGTGCTGATATGGTGCTGCAAGGAACAATGAACACCCATTGCAGCCAGGGGGTATGAAACAACCGAAGAGTTCGTCTATCCCCTGTTGTGCGTTGGCGATAAACGGCACGTGAAGCAACACCAAAACAGCTCAGAAAGCGAAGGCAAGGGCACCAACAGGCTGCACACTCTCTCGAGCCTCTTGGCGCTTCGTCTCAACCCACAACAATGTGTTACATGCGTCCGCCCGTTCACATCGACGACGTGTAGCGAAGCCCAGCCTCCGGCCACGCGCACAGCCCCCCTTCCACGTTCAGCTCAGGGCTCATATGCCCTCTGATTAACGAAATGCTATGGTATTTTGAAAAAGAGCTGCGCACATTCGTAGCTCACGCATCCTTCCACACCGAATCTCCAGAGGCTGCAAACCATGTCACATCAGCGGCCTAAACACATCACCTTTGGACACCATGACATCAGGCAGTACTCCCCTTTGACCGTACCCTTACATACCCTTCATCAGAACACACCACATGGCCCGGGCGTTGCATTGCCGCTGTCAACAGCGCTCGGCTCCCTGGCCCCCCTCAATGTGAAAACGATACTTCGTTTTCATATTCAGCACTTGTCGACGAATCATATATTCTATCAGATATTCACATCAGCTAGGTCACATCGCCCCGCATCAGGTCATGTCATTTTACATTCAATATAATCCATATACACGTCATTTTCCCCCTTCTCACACCGCACAGCTGCATGCGCAACATGGCCATGTCAATCGCCATGCCGCGCAGCATGGAATCACGGGCGCCTCTCAGGGCCTGAATGCATAGGCTGAGCATGAACCACGACGGGTTTGCGGCCTCCCTGAAGCCATTTTCGAACTTCCACCTTTGTCTTATCCCTTCTTTTCAGCTCGCTTACCGCTCTCTCACGACGGTTGAAGGCCGCCATGGCGTCCATAACCAAAGGCAACATGGCGAAGAGGGGGACCTTTTCGCACTGCACACAAGTAGCCCTGTTCATGCAAGAGAGCCTGAAGTTCTCCATCGCTTTGGCGAGCTTCAGCCAGAGTCCCGTCTTCATTCGACATGAAGAAATGGACAGCAACTCTGCCCTCAGCCTTGGCAATCTTCCCTGGAGAATTTCATACGCCACGAGCAGCACTGGCTCGTTCGTCTCCTTCTTCACCCGGTTCAGTTCGAAGTCGCGCCATGTCATATCCCATGCAGCTGCCAAACACTCAAACTCCACAAAGGCACTCTCCACCAGCAGATCGGGCAGCTCCTCAGTGTCAGCACTGCGACGAAGAGACTCTCGACCCTCGTATGGACTTCGTCCTTCGCCTGAGCTGCCTCCCATTCACTGATCACAAACTCCCTCAATTCCTTCGCCCTTTTCCAAGTGACGTCATGCACGACTTCCCCATCTTCCAGGGTGACCTGTGGCGCCACACCTGGCTCCTGGCTGCGATCGTACATGAAGATGCCAAGTTCTTCGACAAAAGCTTCCACATCACGCGCCAAAGGGAGCTTGCATAACTCCCTCCATTGTGCGACCTTATCTTCGCGCCTTCCCACGCTGTTGGGGGAGTCAGGGCTGGCCATCCTGAACTTGGAGGCAGCTCAGGAGCCTTTCGCACACGCTGGCGCTCCGTTCCAGCGATCACACATGGCATCAAAGGGGCATATGTGCAGATTCTTGTCTTGTGGCCTCAACGTCTCGTTGCATATCCAAAACGGACATTCTTGGGTTCTATAGACAGGCCCTAATCTCTAGATGCACGCGGCATAACCGTGTCATTTTCCCCTACATTATATGCCTTACATAGCACTCATTTCAGGGGCCGTTTTCAGTAAAGTCGCTGTAACTTGGTCCCTAGAGCCCGTACCGAGCTGCGATTTGAGAATTCTATCAATTCTGAAACTGCCCTAAAAAGCCTAAATCAAGGTATGTACGTACTGCAATTTGATCACTGAGCACGATAAAATCATCACACCAATCATCCGACTTCATATGGCTGAGACGGCTGACTTGGCGAGCGTTCTGCAAAGTTGCAGACATCCTGGTCACATCACACTGTCCCAAACTAGACGCAAACCCTGCGATACTGCCCGATTCTGCCACTCCTGGCACCCCCACGGGCGGCCAGGCTGAGTCGGATGCCGGCAGCACAACTATTTCACTCAGCGAACCTCCCACGACACTGCCCGGTGGGCTCCGGAGGCGTCGCTTTTCATCACTCGAGCTTCCGCCAAACAAACAACCGCGCAAATTGGGAACGCTCCCTGAGGCCAAAGACTTTACCAGGTCACTATTGGCGCGGAGCCCCTGACTGACCCGTGGGGCTCCGCGCCGCACGTCCACCTATGACCTCCGGACCCGTCCCGATGGTGCCCCGGCGCGTTTCTTTCTGTGGCTTTTCGATGACCTGCCAACCGTGCGGTTCAAGAAGCTTGCTTCCCTGCTGTAGATCCCCCGGTTGCTTTTCTTTCTTTCCGCTCTGATCGACCAATCGGCCGTTTGGCTGCCAGCCCCCATTCTCGACCCCATCGCCGAACACGGCTCGCCCGTCTCGATCAATGGGCATTGCTCGGCCGAGTTCGGGCGGAATGCCCCTCCGCAGGCTCCCGACCCGCTGTGAGTGCATTTTGGGAGGGCGCTTTGCGTGTCGAGCCGAGTCGGGGGCAAGAGAGTCCGTGCAGCGAGTCGCCGTAGATTATGAGACTGGTCACGGTGTTGGTCCTTCGCAGATGCTCCGGAGGATGTTGTAATCTGCCAGGTCGACACCAGTCATGCGTTCATATCGTTTCTGGTATATGGTCGATGCCCCGAGACTGGCTCTGCCGCAGTCCTGTGAGCTGCGTGTCGAGACGTTGAACGTTGATTGCCCTTGCTGTAGAATTCTCGGGTCATCCTTTGGGGCTTCTGATCCATTCTGGTCCTCACGGGGAGCCAGCTGTGCGTCCGATGAATGAGCTCTTATGTTCTACAATGTGCTGTCATTATTGGCGACCCGAACAGGTGCCCATGCCTTATTCGGTATATTCACAATATGGGGCGTTTGCCGAACAGATAATTGTTGTGAGCCATCGCAGCAGACAGGTGATGCCCCGCAAAGCACCACCGAAAGAACAAACGGTGCACATAGTTCAGCCAAGCCCTCACAAGTCCAACACACACAGTCCAGCCAGCCCTCACAAGTCGCCTGGCGGCGGTTGCAGCAAACCAAACCGTACTAGTCGCCAGCAAGTGCGCAGCTGGAACTGAAGAGAAATTCCAGCGGGAAGACACGCCCCGTCGGTGACGTAAACCGTATATACGTTTCCTCATCGGCGTCTCCCACCTCGAACCCTCGAACCCTGCGTAGCAACCGCTGCTGCAACCAGAACTGATCGAGCATCGTTAATACATGGACGCGCCAAGAGGCGATGAGGCAGTAGGAACTGAATTAAGGAAGCTGATGAATGGACCGTATATAAGTTCCCGTTCGCCTTTTATCGTTGCCTTGCGCACGAGCCTACGATCCCCAGTCAGGCCCTGCCTGCCTTCGTCACGCGATGCCACGACTGTACGGCGACATCCGCGCCCGGCTCCCTGTCTTCCACCCAACGCGCTCCAACCCTCCCCCGTTCCCCCGGCGCCATCGAGCAAGCCGCACACAACACCAGAAAACCACACACAGACGCCCGCAGAAGCAACCCCTTCTCCCAGCGACCCAATCCAGTCCCCATCCCCCCGCCTCAGAGACAACCCGCCGGCTGTTCCCTCTGAAAAGACATCCCCCGGCAGGCCATGGCTGATGAACTCATCACCCACCCCCGAGGACCCCACTCCCTCGGCGGCGTCCTCATCAATGGCGTCCTGATCGCGTCCCTGCTCTCTGCCGCCGTCGCCCAAGTCCTCAAGGTCTTCACCCATCGATGGCGCCACGGCCGGTGGTCGCTCGGCCGCATGCTCACCTCTGGCGGCATGCCGTCGTCCCACACGGCACTTGTGGGGGGCCTCGTGGCCGCCGTGGGCGTCCAGGAGGGATCTGGCAGTGTTGCCTTCGCCGTGGCGACGGTGTTGTGGCTGCTGGTGATGTATGATGCGTCGGGGGTGAGGCTGGCCGCGGGGCGCCACGCCAGCGTGCTGAACACGATCATTTCGGAGCTGCCGCCGGAGCACCCGGTGCAGGACGGGCAGCGGCTTAAAGACTCGCTGGGGCACACGCCGCTGCAGGTGGGCTTTTGGAAATCACCGCATTCTGCCGTTTGGTTGTTTGTGTGGCTGTTTTGGCCCTCACCAAGTTGATTGGTTGCCTGTGCGGTTTGTCTCCATCCTCGACAAGTTGGCGAGGTGGGCGCAGCACTGCTCCGCCCGCTAGCTGGCGCGGCGGTTTGTTGCTGATTGACATCCTCAGCAAGTCGTCGAGCCGGGGGCACCACTGTTGCACTTATTTGATGGTTTGGTGGCTTGTTGTAATGGACATCCTTGGCGGGTTGAGGGGGCGTGAACACCGCTGGTCTACCTGTAGACATGGGCGCAATGGCATTGCCTGCTGATGCAGGCTTGTGGTTCCTTTTGGGTGCCCTTGTGGGGAGACAAGAGGGTACCCCGGCCTGGGCCACAGCCGACGAGCCTCCTGCAGCTATTGGACACTACTATGTCCAGCTACAGGGTTGAAAACACCCAACGGCTGGCACTGTGGTCACCCAGTTCCTCGCATATGCGTGGGCCGTTTGTTGCCATACTCCCTATAGCTCCTCAGAGATAGCAGAAACGACTTTGCATCCCTCCTGTGCCACAATCTTGAGTCCTGGACTTCTTGTCTACGTTCTGTCCCTACAATCCTCATATTTCCTTGCGCATGGCAGCATCAAGGTGCACACCTTCCTGATCTACGTTTTGGGAATCGTTGTTTGAAGTATCGATTTTTCATTGCATTGATATCGTAGATTGTTGCAGGGAGTCATTAGTTCTTTGCTGCTGTTGTAAATTTCTGCATCTCTTGCCGAGATGGAAAGGACCCTTCCCTTTCTCAGTGCAGGGCATGTGTTGCTTTCCTCTGCTGCTGCACCTGTCCTGCAAAGTCGCATGCCTATCCACCTGCTCTTCAGCATTTCTGTCAAGCTTCCATGGGTGTCAAAATCTCAGTCCGTTGACCTCTTGGGCAGAGATGTGGACAAGCAATATACGATACTACTCCTCTGTCTTGACAGGCCATTCTGGCTCTGCCATAGGCTACTCTGGCACAACAGTATCGCTGCACAATAGTCTCCAACTTGTTGCATCCCCAGGAAGGCAACGTTAGCTTGCCTTCCCAGGCGAATGATTGAGGCTCAGACATTTGTACCGTGGAAGCTCCCATACTGTGCCTCCCTTGCGATTCCTGTCTCTGACCAGCTTTATGTGTGTAGGTGCTGGTTGGGGCCATTGTGGGACTCCTCGTTGGGTATTTCTTCCAGCAGCGTTGGGTAGTTGGTCGATAGAGAGGGATGGCACTGTTACCTGTAGCTGGCAAAGCGGGGCGAATCGGTGCGAATCAGTGTTAATTATGAGAGTGTTTGAGGACAACAATAATAGTTGTGTGAGTATAAATTGCTGTTGGTGTGTAGTGCACCATGAACATGCTTGGGATGGTCAGTTGATCGGACTCAGCTGGCTCGCTTGGAGCTGCAAGGAATTATTCCATGCGGTGGGTAGGGCTGGGTGCATGTCAGCTAACAATTGACTCAGCCAGCAGTGGTGCCCACAGCTACGTGCAGCTAAGGCTGCACAGGCGCAATTCCCTGGGTTCGTTTTTGGGCGGGTGCTCGGCCTCGTGTCAACACTCTGAGGATGCACAACAACTGGCACCACAACTGGTGGCAAACGACATAGTTAGAAGTGGCAGGGTTCTCTGGAGGGAGGGGTGAGGTTCAAATATAGATAGAAGCATATTTTTCGCATGGAGGATCATTTGGCCTGATTTGCAGAGATTTTTTGAACAGGTTGCTCTTGACTTCAATCCACTCCCAGGCCTGGTGTGCATGGTGTTGCACATTTTGTTGCTGTAATTCTGATTGGTTCATGTGCCTGTGACCCGCCAATGGGATCCACGGACAGTTGTATTCTTTGTCTCCTTGCGGGTGGCCATGTCTTCTGACCACCACAGACCTCTCGCCAATTGAGGAGTGTCGTGGCTTCTCTGCAGCCTGAGAGCCCTATTGTACAGGAGTATCATGGCGCAAAGCCTATGGCTCTGTGGCCCCAGGCCAGGATCCAACTCAGGCATGGGTTGCCAGAATGGTTGCCATTTTGACCGAAATCGCTCCTAACGCTCCGAAGGGCGTGATGTGCTGTAGTGCATTGTCTGTAGGAACTCGACTTGCACATCGGACACACACAAACACTCGCTGTGCCGGTCAGCAGTTGATTGGAGGGACATTCGGACTGCAGCAGCAGATTACAGTCTGTAACCAATCCATGGCCAAGTGCCAACATGGCTAATTGCGCACTGCATTCTGGCAACCCGGTGCCACTCCATTCATTCTTCAGCCAATCTCCCTTTTGCTGCCCAGGTGTCATTTCCCACGCTTGGCTGTTGCTGGCAGCGCTTAATGGGCTTGGATTGCGCGGTGCAGCAGCTCGCCCACGTCAAGCGGCAATCCAGAATTCCAAATATCCTGGTGTGCAAGCTGTTCGTGTCCAAATGCCCGACAGAGTTTCCTTCACTCCTGGTTGCTGGTGCATAACGAAGGTGTCTGTTCGGCAGCCGGCCTCACTTTTGCCTTTGATTGTTCCAACGGTCAGTACTGTGGCCCAAGTCCCTCATGCCTTTGCAACAAAACAGCCCTGGTCTCAATTTCTAGTGGGCAAATTTCTCAACACTGGATATTTTTAGACATATACCAGCTGCGGGCTCTGGCATGTCGATTCTGCGGGGAGGATATGGAAGATACGGAGGACACGGAGAAAATGATCGGGAATGCAATTTTTCTTATTGCCCCAATATGCTGCTGAAAAGCCGTTGCTTGCAACGGGTGCGTGGGAGGTTTCGTGACTTCGGATCTGTGGGCGTTTCCAGTGCCCGTCCGGTGGAGCCTCAGGGACCAGGCCAGGTTCCCAAAGACGTGAAACGGGAGCGGGATGCCAGATTGAGGGGCATGCTCTGGTCTCCCAGGGACAAGCTCATTTTTTCATTTCTCTTTTTTCTTACATCCTGTTACAGCTTCTCGGACAATTTTCTTGGGTTCGCTGCCCCCGGCCCTCCCACACCCTTCTTTTCATGCAGCGCAGATGGGTAGCGTGCCGAACGAGGGTATCGGGAACTTGATCGAACATCGCGTGGATACTTACGTGCCCGCATCGCCTGCAGGACCCAAGGGCTTCGTTTGTCTATGCAGAGAGGCTTAATAATAAAGGAATTGGCCACAGCTTTCTTTATCTGAACAACAAGCCTCGATGCGCGCTGATGGAATGGCAGCTCCACTCCCATGCGTAGTCAAATGTGCTTGCCCCAGGGTGCCTGCAGTCTTGTGACCTTATTGTGGATGGCAGCGCACGCATCCGCATTCGCAACATTTGTCAGATTGCGACACGTCATTGTCCTTTTGCACCTGTTGGATGCTGTTCGCCACAGCAATAGGGTGCGGGGACCTTGCCAGGCCTAACAGCGGCACAACACCACAGAAATCGTCGCGAGCGGGGGCCACTGCACTGCAATCAGCTACATGCTCACAGAAACTTGACAGCACATGTTACTCTCAAGTTCTGCACACCACAGGCGCAGATTCGTCTCCATCAGCTGCTGCTGGACACGACCAGCCAAGGGTGTCAAAAATTTTGTCGCCGAAGAGCCGTGTTGGCCACTGCGAGTAGAATTCGACCACTGGAGGCCGCCTCAATTTCTTCCCCGTGTGTTCGCCGATGAGGGAGGCGTATGACCCCAACAGCAACGGCTCCAGGTCCACCTCAGACGTCTTCAGCTTGTCCGTCATATCTTTGTCCAGTACACTCACAAATGCGGCCACCTGCAGGGCACAGCACGGCAGCAATCACACATGTTGCTTCGTTCATGTCACGCTCAGGCAGCTAAGATCACAAAGCCTCTGCACCTGTGGACATAAGAAACTACTTCGTCCGTTCCATGTCAAATGTCCTACATGACTTTGGCATTACTTCTCCATCACAAGGAACTCATTATTTGACTCATTATTTGATTATTTGGTCCATAGCCGTGCTTATAAGTTTGGAGTATGTGATCGAAAATTCAAGCCAATCCGTTGAGAACTGCGGATTTGGCAATGCTTTGTAGCAAGGTGGTCCCCCAGATAAACGCTCATATTTTAACGATCTTGCGAAAACGGGCGTTCGAAGTAAGAACTTCATTCTTTGACGAAATTTCTCCCAAAGCTGTGCCTGTGAGTGTGGAGTATGCCATCCAAAACTCAAGTCAATCCGTTAAGAATTGCGGGTTTGGAATCAGTTTGTAGCAAGCGTCTCTTATACGGCAAACCTCGAGTTTTCGCTCCGAAATTACCAAATTTTTCCCTACCTATTGCCCAACGCTCAAAGGGTTCGAGTCATTTTTTCTTATTGAATATTGTTAGTTAGGGATTTTGGCACCCAACTTGTCCGATTACGACCTCCTTTTGTAATTTCAAAGGTGTTTTTGTAACGAATTTTGTATTTCAAATAGAGGACATTTTATATGGGACAGAGGAGGTACATATGGACCATGGTGCTGTAGGGATGCCCCAAAGAAAGAACAGCACAATTATGTTGGGTAATGTGCAGGCGGGTGAATTGGCCTCCAAGACTGTAGAATGGGACTCAACAGGCAGCCATCCATATTCATGTGATGCCACATGCTCGCCAAAGACATGGTAGTCTGTCAACACTGGCTGCCCACTACATGCTGTGCTGGGGTGGCCCAGTACCAAATGAACACAGCAATGGCTGTTGATGCAAATCAACACCTCATGGCTTCAAGTGAGGAGACAGTGTCCACATTCCAGTACACCCGCATCTGAAATTCTTTTCTTTGGCGGCTTTGCCTACGCACTGGTGGTAGCGTTCAAGAAGTGAGTTCCAAGGTTGTGGACACATGTGAGATCTGCAATCACTGGAAACAAAACATTCCACTTTCTGCCACTTGCTCTACATCATTCTGATCAACAGGTCCCGTTCCCATTCTCTCACCTGAGGGCAGTAATGATTCCTGAGGGCCTCTATCTCCCACAAAGAGCTCTCGATGGCGCGACTCTGAGCTGGGTCCTGCTCCTCCGGCAGAAAAGGATCGAAGCCAGGCGGCTGCCCGGCCTGGGTTCCTGCGGCCTCGCGATCGGATACAGGATCCTCGTCCTCATCCGTGTCACTGCCGCTGCCGCTCTGGTCCAGTTCATCCCGTTCCGCGGCTCCTTGGTTGCCTTCCTGGCTCTGCGTTTGGGATCCACTTAGGACCCTTTTAGCACCCTCTTTCAGGGATGTTCGTTGGTACTGCGGACGGTGCAGGAGCACGATGCAAGAAGGGTGCCTTCTGATGATGTTGTGGATGAAGGCAATGCAGATCATCGCTCCTGAGGGGGGCGCTGTCAGGGCAAACCTTGCGAACGTCTTGGCGAAGGCGGCAGCCGTGTAGGCAGGCACCAGGACTGGCCAAACAGCAACGCATTTCAGCAGAGCACCAATCAATTGATCGCTCAATGAGTCCCTCATTCGATGCATTTGGCCATCTGCCATTCAATCGATCGATCAATTAAAAAAGCAGGCACACATTTGTTCATGTACAAAAAGAATATTCCTTGTCAAGGCCAGGACACAGCTGGTCGCCATCTCGGCTGCAGAAAGCAGTGCCTATGAGAGTGTCAGGCTGGGTCTCAAAAAGATAGCCAAGATCAAGCTGGAGCAATGGAAAGGTCTCTGACACCACGATCTGGCATCGCCCGCAGCTTCGTGTGTGGACTTGATAGAGGGGACTGGAACCGACTTTAGGAGTCCCTCAGCTGTGGGAATTTGCCTATCATGTTATGGTGGCCAGGCATTGGGCCAGTGTAAAGTTATGAAATGCGGTTTTCCGACGGGCCTGACTCGACGGATATGAACAATATCATATGTCAGGAAAGCGCACTAAACAAACAAATGTTGAAAAGTGGCTCAGATGTCCACCAGAAATGCATATACCAGAGTCAGGTGATAGCGTAGCCTCAATTCTGACAGCACTGTTGTGGCTATGACACAGTCCATTTGAAGCAAAACATGGGGAACAACGTCCACCACGCAGCCATGTTTCCACAAAGTACAGCAAGAAACTGCCTATTGGACAGAAATCACTAATGGTCAATTACAATGATAATACTCTGAATATTGATGTTAATACTCCGAAGTGCGAATCAAGGGCTGGCCTCCACACACCTGACGCCAGGAAAATGTCGGTGAGTTGAAGGAACCTCACCCTCTGCTTGGAGTAAAATATCTCCGGCTTCAGGAGCCCATACAGGCAAGTGTAGAACTGTGGGTACTCCAGCCTGTGCCTGGTCACCAACACAAAGATTCCATGCAGTGCCAGTATCCCAACCAGTCCACCACGGTTGAGGGCAGCCGTAAGGAGGTCGCTCAGAAGCAGGGGGTCCAGCATGTTGGGAATCACCACGCCTGGCAGCTTTGAAAGCACTTCGATCAGCACGTCCTCAGGAAGGGGCAACCGCAAACAGCTGATCCAGGCCTCGCTGTGCACAGTGGAGGGCGAGTGTGCGTCAGATATTGGCTGGCAATTTCCATTTGCAGCAGACACAAGTGCCACAACGTTGTTGTCAATGGTGCTTCCAAACTTCTATTGAACAGCCTCCTGCTGCTGCTGCCATGATTTTTTCATATTCATGAAGAATGCCACGGGACAGGGTGCCATACCTTGTCTGGGTTGAGGGACAATGAGTCCATCATGGCGGACTGAATCAACATAAATTACAAGCAATTTGGTTAAAAGCCGAGGTTTAAGCACATTTTAACAAGCCAACTGGCATCACAGTTGCACCCAGCAAATTTTGATGCTCTATGCACAAAGACTGGGGCGTTTCCAAGATGCGCACTTGAATTTTATGTCTGAGTGGCACGGCAACTGCGAGTCGGCTACCTGAACATTTTCTTCTGCAGTTTCTCACTTGCCCAACGCACATGTGCTTTCCTTGTGCCTCCATTTTCAACGGCACCATCTCTGCGTCGCTTCCGTCGCTGTTGCGAGTTTTCAGCGTAGTTCACATCACCCGTCACTATGTCCACCTGCAAAACCATGCACGACAACACCTTCAAGTAGTGTGTTAACTCTCTAATGCTTCAACAGCATTCAACACACCATCACAGTGAAGGTACAAGGACGGAGATTACTCTAACAAGTGTGATCAGAGAAACTGACAGGATAACGCACATGTGCATGCTGTTAAGACTTGCATCTCTGGCTCTTTCCCAATTCTTCATCCACAGCAACTCTAAAAAAACGTTGCTTCCATGTCTTGCATTCCATCTTTTCAGCCACTCTAGATTCATGCACATCAAATGGACCAAACCTCTGCGTGTGGTGCTCCACGCACCTCTGTTGCACAGCACCATGACTTCAGCCTCCTCTCTTCCCCTTCAGAGGCTTCTTGTTCTCCTGTTCTGCAGTCATCTAGGTTTGGTGGCACCCTGGACAACAGGCCACAGAGAAGGGGCCCGAGGTCATCGAAGCTTCTCCAGTTGCACACACCTTGCCAAAAGAACCAGCACACCATGGCTATGTTAGTTTTCTACAATAGTTCTGCAGCCTTCTAATTTTCTCAACATGACTTCGGCACTAGAAATCGATGAGCAGGGAACAGCAAGAACAGGGTTGCATCTATGCAGGATGTACATGCTTGATGTTCATTGCATGGCCGACAGCAGATGATCGCGTAGCTACAAGTCACAACAAGTGCTACAGTTGGTGCTCTCCACAGAGAGCAGCAGGGATCTCCCGCTCAATGGCTGCGACTGGAAATCCAACAAATCTGAATCTTTCAGTTCTTCACTCAATGTCTCTAACTATGCCAATGCATGATGCTAGAAAACTGCGGTGGGTAGTCAGCCTCACCCTCAGGTGCCTTGGCGCATGCATTGGCCACCTTCTGAATAACTCTGAGTGTGTAGTAGCGTGCATCAGCGTAGCTCCAGTACTTGGCAGCCAGTCTAAGCACAATCTTCATCATCAACACAACAGCACAGACTCAAAGTTGGCAGTTCAATCTTGCAGACCTGGCGATCCTCAGGCACAGGTGTGTGCATTGAAACCTGACATGGGTATAGAGCACCAGGATATCGAATCGAGATCCGTTTCAAAATTCATTTCCCTTCCGCAGTCAACATGTGTCAACTCAGCTGAGGCAGAAGAGGTGCTGAAAATAGTTATATGTCCTATAATATAATAGCAGTAGTAAGAAGTGCTAATTGTAACTACATGTGCCTACAAAGTCCAATCGCTTTGCACTGTGGTCCAGTAGAATAGCTTCAAATGCGTCTGCCATTGCAAAATTCCTGGGAACATGGGACAGTTGCGCATAGTGTTCGGTTCCTCTGGCGATTTCAGGATCATTTCCAAAAGCGTGACAGGTGGTGATTCTGCTTTCCAAAATTTCTGACACAATGTATCACTGGCTTGTTGCAATCAACAGCTTTCAGAAAATGGGCAATGAGGAGAATGAAGCCAGTAGCTTGGACAGCACAAGTCAACAACACTTTGGGTGCACCCATCACTATGACAGTGCCAGTTACAGTCCCAAGGACCTTGCCCATTTCAACGACCATTGAGGTACAGAAAACAACACCCATCACACACAAACAAACATCATTGGGTGGCACTTGCCAAGCAAGTCTGCCTTGTCAAGCGAGTACTGCAATGGACAACAGCATGCACCATCCACAAACATGTGCAGTCGCACTGGCAGCCTCAACATGTTTCAGCTGCAATTGTTCATACCAAGAGGGCTTTGTTCAGCCAAGCCTTTCTGTACCACTGTTTGGTAATCCTCCTTGGCAAAGTTCTTGGAGGCAATGCTGGTGTTCCTTGCTCCATCCGCTGCATGCTGCTCTAATCCTATTTCTATTCATATTCCCAGTACACTTTGTCAATTTCTGCTGTATAGGAACAGTATTGAATCAATGCTTTTGCCCAACAGGAGGAGTTGGGAAGTTGTACATTAATTTACTGCGCTGTCAAGATGACAACCTGTGGTGTTTATGGCGCTGCTGAAGGACATTCGCACCACACCCATGTACTTTTGGTTGGGTGGATGAACATCTCAGGGCCCCTTACCTCTGGGTCCACATTTTGGCTGGTGATGAGTTTTGTAAGCATGTCCTCAAATAAGTCATTGCTGAATGCACCCACACACTCAGTAGCCACCAGCTCCATGAGAGCATCCCACACTTGGATCTGTTCAGCAGTAATCACAGAATACAGTACATCAATTACTGATCGAACGGCCTCAAACCAGCGCCCCAGGTGAACAGAATAGGAAGCGCCACATATGGAGCACCAACAGGTCTGCAGCTAGTACACCAGCACATATCTCCTTGCCTCACATGCTATCCCACCTTTTCTGGTTTCTGTGCCAAGCAATAAGTTACTGTCAAGACCTGCTGCCATCCCTGAACCAGCAGAAGGGAAGCAGCCTCGCTCCGCCTCACAAGAAAGTGCAAGGCGATGTCAAGCCCACAAGAGTGTTGCTGCACTGTCCTGCATGCCGGCTGCACTTGAGACAACAGCATCATCCTCCAATGCATGCAAAGGTCCCACCAAGTTACTGGCCAGGGTTGAGGCGCCCAGTGTATGAAATTTTCATCTTTCTGTTGAAAACATAACCTTTTGGAGTGATATCGGGTGGTGAGGCAACATACCGTCTTCCCAGAATGATAGCGCACCTGCAGGGTGGACTCCGTGAAGTGGGTAAGACAGCGGAGCAACTGCTGCTTGAACTCTGCATATTGAAGGTGCAGCCAATTACGGTATATTTCATCAGGATCCAGTTCGCTTCCAGCTGGTTGCTTGTTTTTCTACACATGTCCAATCAACTGGTGTTAGTGCAAGCATACTCTGCTTAGACGAAAGAAAGAACATGCAAGACACTGCAGATATCACAGAAGGTTCGTCGATACAACTATGCTCTCTAAATCAGCATGAGAGCAGGGTAGACTATTGTGTGTGCTATTATTGTTCATCCAACTGTATGCACTACACTAGCATGTGCTCTGTGCTATGCTGAGTGCACTCACTACAAATTGCTGCTCTCATCTATTCATGCATGGTGCAAATGGTAGCCATTACGCTAGTTGCTACAGCGTAACAATATGGTCACATCAGGGTGACAGTGTGCAAGCCCGATTCAGAGTTGATTACACACGCATCAACATTGTGCAAATACAATCACATGTCGAATGCATCGATGTCATTATGATAGTGTTCCACCGTGAGACAGCACTCACAATACAGCAACAGTGCCTGATATTACATGTCTACAAAAACTCACGAAAGTCGTCTAAGACACCCCAAGCACCGCAACACACTCACCGTTTGTTTCTTTCGATGTTGGCCCTCTATTTCACCAGATTCGATGCTAGCCTTGAAGAAACCACTGAGAGTGGACAGTGCCGAAGTAAATGCCACCTGGTGAGGCAGGCAATCAGGTTGTCTATCATCCCGTTTCCATTCTTCGTTTTGGTTCCACATGGACACAACTGGCCCGATCAAGGAGTTGCGATCCCAGGTCGTTGGATTGCTGTAATCCTTCGTTTAAAATTGCGTTCAACATGACAATGCAGTGCCCGTGCTCCTTGTAGGCTATGAAATGTTTGTATGCATCCAGGTACTTTTTTGGCCCCACATCCATTCATTTTATCTGCTCACCAACCATGTGGTCGACATTGCTACTTGATTGATGTCCCAGGCCTTTGTGAATTGGCTGCGGGATACCAATTCCATAGATCATAGTTGTCAAAACAGTTGACAAACTAGTTTGCACCTGGTGGCAGAGATATCAAAGCAATGTTTGCATTAAATGCCACAGTGTTCAATGCACAGGTTGCGGGAATCAAAGGGACTTACAACGACACAACAACGGCAACTTGTTATTCAACGTTAAGTCCATATGAGCTGAAGCAAAGTAACACATTCATTGGAAATACATTGAGTGGATCCTTCTGCAGTTGTCATTGCCTTTAGGGTCAGATGGCTGTTTTGACCATCAGTACTGGACAAATGTAATGCATGGAAGTTGACAACGACCTTCTCTGTCCGAAAATGTCACTTCGTTTGTGAGCCTACCGCTACCTTTAGTTGACATTACAAGCTCGTGTTCAGAGTGAAGGCTCAGTTGAAATTTGGTCTTGGGGTTCACGGTACACAAACTAGTAAAGAGCGAACAACATTCAGCAAAAAGAGTATGGCTTGGCAAAATTACTAGAGCACTACTTGGCACCCCCTAGTATGGCCAAAGATACAATCTTTGCCCAGGTGTCGCCTCAAACCTCCATCCAAACCCTCTTGGCGCTGTTCAGAGTGGCAGGGGCCAACTTGTTGTGTGCAAGGCGGTTTGGTGAACCGCTCAATCTGCCGCGCTCGTGTTCGCAGCGCCAATGCACGTGCGCACACGCATCGGCGGGACCATGCCCTGGCGTACCTGCCTTTGGAGCTGCTGATAGTTCTGATTTCGCAATTTCCAGCGCAGGAGTCAAGTGCACCGACAGCGTACCGCAGAATGAACACACATCCTCACAGCAAAGATGCAAAAATGCTCTATGGAGTGTTGGCTCAGTTTCCCAAGGCTCATCGAACCGCGGTGCACTGTCGGCGCACACGATACCTGCACCTGAATCGGCGAAACTTCTGCCTGCATGCGCTTCCCAGGCAGCGTGCGCCCGTTCACGGTCGCGAGCATGAATCCCAAATTTTCGACCACACAGCGGATTGCCAACCTCTGGTTAGCGCTATTTCTGCGCAGTCCTGCTTCCCTCTCAGACAGCCGCCTCATCTCCCATATCACGGTAAACAGTATCACGAAATTCTTTCTCCGCCGGGCGCGTTGCCTACTTTTTGACATGCTTTCCTTTGGTCTGAAAGGCAAACATCCTGATGCCGACAGTGGCACCAACCTTGTCCGCAATCGACGGCAGATTCGCCAGCAGCAGAGGCACGTTGTTGGCGTTCTTCGCAGGCTCTTTCCTCAGTTGGCTGGAGAGGGTCTCCACGCGGTCCCTGTCTGGGGGCGCCATCGCGAAAGCCGCCAGCGGTTTGGCGCCGACGCAGGGTCGAATGTGTTGAATAGACTTAGGCCCTACTGGAGTGTCCACAATAGGACCAGTTTGGACCGGTGCCGTCAGCCGCAAGGCGTCGGGCGGAAAGGCGCTTTGTTGCACTCGGCTCACGCATTTATAGCACAGGGTATTCTCGTTTGCTTGCATAGCTTTCTGGCCCTTTATGTCCCCGCTGGCTTCTCAATTACTTCCCCCTGACTTCCAGGAATCCCAGCTAATTGCCCTTCCTCTCCCAACTACCCTTCGCCCGTTCAGTCTACCCCGTAGTCACCCATAGCCCTGCCTATTCCTGTCCATCTAGCCGCACTATCTCGAGGTCACCCATAGCCCTGCCTATTCCTGTCCGTCTAGCCGCATTAGCGCTAAGTCACCCATAGCCCAACGGATCCTTGAAATTTACTGTGACCTTACTGTGATCCCTGTCCCCTTCTGGATTACAAACTGGCTAACCACCGTTTAATTCCATGGCAGCCCAGGACGCTGGACCACCCGCACCCTCACAGCGCGGCAGCAAAATTTACATCACGTAGATCTTCGCATACCATCTTTGGATTAGATATAGATCTATTAGATCTTCGCATACCAACTACAGATTAGATACCATCGACAGATACAGAGCATTAGCTAATGATCGAAAGTTTGCCTGCAAGAACATTTCCGAGTGGATCGTACTTAACTCAGAATCGCAATTTGCTAATGTTGAATGCTCTGAGAGCACAATTTGTTCAGTTATTTTGGCCGTTGAAGATCCTCCCGAAATTCTACCATATCATTCCTGCAATAAACTGGAGGGTCACATTGCCCGACAGACAGCGCAACGCTTGATGACCAGCATGAGCTTTGGACCCTAGTGGAACGCCGTAGAGAATTTTCAGGACAATCGCTGTGATGAATGGAATTAATCGAAGCAAGCGATTAATTTGCATCATATCCTGCCAACAGGGTTGATTTCGCACCAATGCAATGCACCACAGGGTGGCAGTTCTCTTGCAGCAAAGGTGAGTATCGAGCACTATGTATTGCACGCACTTGGGGAACGTCCGTACAACAATCCCTGCGTTCGAAATTTCGGTCAAGCAGTCCTGTTATTTACTTTTGCAGCACCATTCAACTTTCGCGTTTTTACGCGCAAAAAATTGCAAATGGTGAAACGGCCATTTTTGAGGCCATATTTACGCATTGTAACGTCTCGCCAACACACTTTGGCTACGCGATGATGTCCCAAACAAAGATCAGTTCTTGGCCCCCTAGAGCAGCTGCAGCACAGCGCCCACCCGGCCCTCGGCAAGGGCAACAACGTCGTCGAGCAAGCGGCAGTTTCTGCGCAACCCAGCGCGTCTGGCTGCCACTCCCCGGTCTCCCTGTGTCTGTAGGCACCATCTTTATGTACACAGGGCCTATTTTTACGTATTTGTGTGCCAACTTATGCGTAAAAATGTAAATCCATTTTTGGCGTCAATACGCCTAAATATGTCGAAACTCACGAGCATTTACGCTGTAATTAAAGGCGTTTGGCCAAGTACCTGAAAAGTTTCATCCCACATAACAGCAACGATATCTACATAGCTAGCTATGATGCGCTTCGCTTTTGCGCGGATAATTGATTACATGATATTGCATGGCGCAACACCAATTTCGCATACCGGATGCGATTCTCCTATTGAGCTGCTAACAAAGGAGCCAGACTCCTGAAGCCATAATGCATTGTGGGTTCTTCTAATCCAATCTCTCAATGGCACTTGGGGTCACAATGTACTGCGCTTGACTAAACAGCCGCATAGGAAATGTATTGTTCTCCAGATCGTGGCCTAAGCGTGTCGAGACCCTTCGGGGATGCGCAGTGAAAGTCAAAAAGTTCAAAAAGACTCGCCCGTGGCCCAGAGCGGTTGAAGAACGCAACAAAAGGTAGCGAATTCGGATCGCTTTGCATGCATGCCGCTGGCAAATCGGCCACCAAAACGCGGACAAACCTGCCCACTGGCCATGCATGTCCATGCGCGTGCAATCCAGAAGTACATGAACAAAACCGCTGAAAAAAAAGCAGTTTTCACATGGATTGCCTTCGTTGGCACATTTAACAGCTTTGCGTCAGCTGACGACGTGTCATGACATCACACATGAAGAGCTGAAGATCCTGGGGACCACGACATAACTGGCCAGCGCTGGCCAAGTGCAAGGCTGGCCTTGGCTTAGCTCTTTGTGCAGCGATCAATGAAGATGGGGTGACGTTGATAGCAAATTTGTCACAACTGTTACTTTCGAATTTTGAGATCCTGCAACAGTATTAAAGACCGCGAATTCAAGGTGCTCAACAACGTTACAAGTTTGAGGCACTTGAAATCAGGTGGATGTTCTGGAATCAGTGATGAAGTGGCGAAATAGCTAACGGGTCTGACAGCACTTGAGAACATTTCCTTGGAGGAGTGTCACATCACCGGAAGGGGCTTGGTGAGATTGACAGCCTTGACGTCCCTGAAATTGCTCATCATTTGGGCTTTCATGCGCACCACAGAAACCGGAATGCAATGGCAGGCAGCGCTGACAGCTCTTCAGTTTTTAGGTTTCAGTTATTGCGAGGACGTCACTGACGAGGGATTAAAGTCTCTATCAAATCTAACAGGGCTGCGGCACTTGGATTTGTGGGGCTGCACACGTGTCACAGATCAAGTACTGAAGTCGCTGTCCAACCTGACAGGTTTCCGCGGCCTCACTTTGCACGGGTGTGAGAAGATCACAGATGAGATCCCTGGCCAGTCTTACAGCGCTGGAATATTTGAATTGCAGGGGGATGTGTCGGGTTAACTGACAAGGGAATAGTTCAGCTAGTGAATTTAGCATGCTTGCGGTTTCTGGACCTGAGGATGTGTTCCAAGTTTACAAACCAAGGGTTGGAGTTGCTGGGAGTTGTTCCTTTTCTAACAATACTTGCCGACGGATATTATTGTACTGCGCTGGATGGCCCTGCTCGTTGTTATGTAAGGATAATGTGAATGTCCACATTGTAGATTTTTTGAGACTGTTCATGGAGCGGAAGTCATGTTCCGACTTCTAATGTACAATTTGCAGTTGTTCTGATACCCATTGCCAGGCACCTGTGAATGCACATGTGCCACTGTCGTGTTGTGTGTACTGTGTCATGAGCAACGAATGCATGAAAGCGCAATGCGTTGCTTTGGACTTCCAGCAAAAGATGAAATTTTTGTGCTCTACTTCAGATTTCAGGTTCGAGGCAGTGCATAAAGTCGTACATGGGAAATTGGGGCGAACGCTATGCCTGTTGAGGGCATTTTCTGCTGCCTCCACTGAATGGAGAATTGTGCTCGAGCTGGCATTGCACATCTACCTTATTGCTCTTTCTCTTGTGAAAACACAGGGCAGCATCATTATTCATGGCAGGAGAGAGCACGCCGAAGGCAACGACGTTTCCAGCAATTCACGTTACCAGACATGACAATGCTGAAGGAAAAAAGACAACAACGGAGAATGTACTGAGCGACATGGAAGTCCGGCAATTCCACAAAACCAGAATGGCAAGTTTGTAGTGTAGTCATCTTTTTCCGCTTTCCCCAAAAGATTGTTTGCCGACATTGTGCCAATGCGTAATGTTTTCCCGTCAACCCCTCTATTACATGTAGTACATGTTCACATGTATGTGTTATTCAGCAATGATCTCTTAGCTTTCTGCACGCCTAAATTAGAAATATATGAAATTTGAGTGCTTCCAATGTCAAATACATTGCAAATGGAAGAGACAAGAACCAATTGCAATAAAGAGCCTGTTGTTGTGCATACATGGAAACGGTAAAATCAAATGAATGGAAGATGGTTCCGAGTGGCTTGCAGCTGATACCGCAGCTTCAAAAATTTTGATTCTTTTTGAGCGATGTTGTTAGGGGACAGCAAGCATGTTTTATTATGTTTGAATCTAATCACAAATGTGTAAGCTCGCATATGTGTCCCCATGTAAAGGGCAATAATGAATTCAGAGCTTTCCGCGTTTGGCAAACAGATTACCTCTTGCCAGGGCCGTTTTACCCACTGCTGTTTGAGGCTGCTATGAATCTCACTATCGATTTTGCGGACGCATTAATGCCACGTTATGCCGAATAAAATAGCAAAATTCTCACTGCGCAATTCCATTCATATTTTTTGGTTTCTCATTGATACCAATCAAACTACAGATCACCAATAGAATTGCGGATTTGCGTTCAAGAAAATGGAAATGGCAGGCATATGCCTGCCATTGGCATTTGTTAATTGCTGAAGTGCATGCACGCACTTTAGCAGGCACACAGCTGGCATGGCGGCACGAACGAGATCGCGTAAAATTTCCACCCATCTCGGGGATGGGACCCACCTTGCTGCTGCGGCATCAATTAGCGGCTCCGGGACTGCGCGTTCAGCACCTTCCAATCGGCAGCCAGCCTCGATTCGACCCCCACCCCCCACCCACCCACTCACCACTTTGAAGCGGCGGAGGAGCGGAGCCTTGTTGCAATGCGTGCCTCGAGCCCGAGCCACTTTGGACTGGCTAGCAAGAATCCCTTGCGCGCTGACCACCTACAAGCCGGTCAACTCACTAGGAAAAAAAGGGCCAAATAACACTTTTGCGAACACACATAAAACGCATTTCATCAAAGTTCTGCACGCTAAGAACACAAAAATAACACAAACCCGTAAACTTTGTACACGTTTGAACGCGTGTTGTTTGGCCCTTTTTTTCCTAGTGACTGAGCCACGCCAGAAAGTGGTGCGTCAGACATATGCTCCCGCAGGGAGAACGCCGGGAGTTGGACATTGAATGGAACAAGAGAACTACGCACGACCACGCCGGCCGCCGCTGGGGGTGCAGGAAGTTGGCCAATAAAATCTGGCTGGCGGCTGAGCGCTGCCACGGGGAAATCCCAAGTTGGGATTCTCAACGCACTCGCTGCCCAATCCAGGCACAACGAGCATTCGCTCTCTGCAGCGCGTCGGCATTCAGGCGATTGGAAATCCTGAAGTTTTGGGCTGGGATACTTCAAAGTATACTTTCGAATACCTGCGCGTGTTCAAAACGGCGCCGGCGCACGAAAAGGGAGCCTCTGCGCACACGCGAGGTGCGCGTCACGCAACGTGCAGACGCGTGTCCTGAACTGGAGGCCCGACCCATCGCCCGTTGCCGACCCCGCTGGACGACATTGTCCTCGGTTCCCGGCATCAGGCGTGCTTTAGTCTGGAAAGTCGGGTTGCTTCACGATTTTGCAGTGCGCGGCATTGGGTGCTTCAACAGGGTGCACCCTGCCTCCTAGGCTCTGGACAAGGCAATGCACTTCGTTTTGGGCTGGCAATGCCAATGCATGCATTCAACGGTTAGCGCACCCATATTGGCCAAGACCACATGGTCGCAGGCTGGTGTGCGCCAGCACCTGTGGTTCGCTTTGTCCTCCAATACTGGATTACAGTCAAGCTTGCTATTACGCCGTAGAAAACTGATCATTTTTGCGTTTTTGCGTGCAAAAAGGCTTTCGCATTTTTGCACGAAAACAGGAGTAAAAACATCTTAATACAGTCGTAAATATGGGTGTCCTAGTGAGCCATCCAAACGTAAATACAGCCGTAAAACTAGCTCCTTCTGCAAACTTACGCTTTTACGCCATCGCAATCACTGAGACGGCATCATTTTGTGTCAAAATGGCATCGCAGTTGGCATCGCCAACAAGCCGTTTTCTCCCAGTGTCTGGCGCTGGTGCACCCCAGCCTGTAGGCCATCAACTTGCAGGTGCCGATGCTGTAAAACATTTGCCACCGGCCGGCTGATGGCCCAGATAAAGATATTGTGCGTGCGTGTGTGCTTTTGACGCCTTTCTGCACGATCAACACGAGTGCGCACATGAAATGAAACTCTTTCCCAGCTGTAGAAGCAGTGCTCCCAATGTGAGAGACTCCTGATTGTGCAGTTCAGGCTTGGTATTTAAAGCATAGCCTCTTTTTCTGTGTATGGCCATTTACGCGCCAAAATATTCTTTGCTTTTTACGCGTAATTAAGCGCGAAATTGCGCGAAACTGGGTCCTGTGTACCTAATGACAGTACATGCAGGCTCAAGCAGTCCGGAGAATGGCAGCCAGGCGGGCTGAAGTGTGCAGAAATCGACTTTGTGGTCCCCGGTGTCTTTGCCCTTGCCGACGGCGAGGTGAACGTTATGTCGACAGTGCTCGAAGAGGGGGTGACTGTTCGTTGATTGGGACATATCATGTAATCTGCAGATTACAGCTACAGGGCATAGCTATGCCCTGGTGCGATGAGTGGATTACTTGATGGACATCATGATGAACACCAATTGCCAGACATGATGACCACAGTTCGGGGTATTTAAACAGACGCCGAAAATTTTCAGATCTTTTCTTTGTGTTATAACACATACCCGACCCGCAGCGGCAATGGAACAAAAATAAGGCAGCTCGAGCAGGGGGCCTATTTTGCGGCTTTTCCATTCACTTGCGTGGGCTGGGCTGCAATTCGAGGCGTGGTGATTCTAGACAGCAACAGAGCACATGTGCTGTACAGAGAACTTCTGTACTGCTCTGCACAGACACCTTCAAAACCATTGTAAGGAAGCTGTAGAAGTCTTCAAGTAAAGAAAACAATGCTCCAGTGATTGTGGCGTATTAGTCAAATTGGGGGTGGCTTCAAACGCTCTGAGCTGTGACATTGGGGATCGTCCTTGAAGGCTATCAGTTCGAAAGAGGTTCTCGAACAAGTCGGGAAGGTTTGGTCCCCTGCTTATCTCATGTCGATTTTTATTGTGTGCACAGTAAACTTGTAAACTGCACAATTTCATGTAATTTTTAAGTGTTACAAGTCGGGCGCCCATTGACGTCGGTCGTCGCAAAATGGAGACAGTGACACCCCTGGTAAGGAAACCACGCTTGAAAGGGATCAGATCGGGTCTTTTGGCCGTTGTCTTTGTGCAATTCTTCAGTGACGAGAAGGGAATCACATCGGGTTGCAAGGGGCACGAACAAATGTCGATCCAGAATATTCTCACTGGCAGTCGTGTAGCAGGCGAGGCGCTTCTCCATTGCCCTCAGAACAGTCCATCATGTTTGATCACACATGGGGTTGCCGGTTTCACTAGCAAAAATGGACAAAATAACACTTTTACAAACACATATATATGCATTTCATCAGTGTTCTGCATGCTGAAAACAATAAAATAAGGTTATTTTCGTTGGGTTCCCAACGAACATGTGCTGTTTGGCCCTTTTTTTCCCCAGTGTTTCCTTCCGCCCACCGAGACCGGCCACCATGACCGGCCCGCCAAGCAGTTCCACCAGATGAGATGGCCACGTGCACAAGCAAATGCGAATGGCTGGGTCTGGATGCAGATCCAGATTTCGTTGATAGATCCTTCAACAGAATCTGAATCTGCACTCCCACCAAGTCATCCACATCGTGCCCGCGGCCAGTCCCAAACAAACACCCCTGTGTTTCAGCCCGTGTGCACCCTCAACCCAATTTCACAGCGCGAACGAGTTTGCCGCCGGTTTACAACACACAACCCCGCGGATGCGAACCCTCCCCCGCGGCTCAGCGGCACCCCCCGCCCGCCCCCGCGCACCCCCCCTTCCCCACTGCTGGGCCCCTTGGGCCCCAGGTCTCCGGTCATCCCCCCGCAGGGCCCTGTGGCCCCTCCCCGCCCCTGTACTTTACGGCCGGAACGTGGCGCACGGTCACTCTCCGTCATCCCTATGTCAGCCCCTTGTAGGCACGTCAAAACCCCACCCGTCACCCCAACCCCCTTCTTCACGATCGCCCCCACCCGCCTCCCCCATTCCCCCCCTGCCAGCTGCCAGCCTCTCGCCATAGAAGCCCGCCTAGGTCACCGAGCTGCACCCGTCGCCGAGCGTCTCTTGGGGCGGCGGGACGTCCCTGGGCGGCACGCCGGCCAGCGGGCGCTGCGCCGCCATCGGCGGCGATCGCGCGAGGTGCGCCGGCCATCTCTGCGCCGCTCCCGTGTCGGTAGCCCCGCGGGCGGCCGCGCCGCATGCCTGCCTCGGGCGTCGGCGCGGGGATCGATTCCACGGACACGAGCCCGATCCTGTGCCACAGTGAGGGGGGGATTGTCTGGGGCGGCGCGGGTGAATCGCGCGGCGACGACCGGCCAAAGGCGCGTCGCGGCCGGTTTGGGGGGTGGCCGCGGCCGGACGCAAACCACGGGCGAGGATTCGGCGAAATGTGGGCGATTGCTCCGCCTCATTTAGTGAGATTTGGTCGCTTTTGGATGGGAACGTGGAGGCGGGGGGTTCAAGATGCGGATGCTGGCCTTTGGGCCGGGACGCCGCTGAGTTGACAATCGTTGACGCCTTGGCAGCATCTTGGCTGCGGGAATCGCTCAGGAGGCATGGTTCAGGTGGGATGGGGGGGACAAGATTGATCGGAATGTTTGGCTTGTTGCCTTGACGCGTGGGGTGTGTTGCGCGCAGCGCTGGCGAGGGGCATGGCGCAGCCGCGGCAGGCGAGGGGCGGCCAGCGGGTTGCAAAGTTGGAGGAAGGTGGGTGCCTCGGGCGCGCCGCCGTGTCACGAGTCGATTGCGGGTCTGCGTTGTCATTTGGGCAATGCCGTCGATGCGGAAAGTGGGCAATTTGGTCGTTGGACGGTACGGAGCGAAGGGAGGAAGATGGCAGGAAAACGGGTGGCCGGGCGAATGCGGATTGGACGCGTCGCTGGCGTGTTCGGCGGGGGCGGGAAACAAACAAGGATGCGTGGATTGACTGGGCTGTGCTGTTTTCGAGAAAATGCGAAGACGATGTGGAGCGCGGGAGGCAACGAGGACAGGAGCGTCAAGGGCGACCCCGAGCGGAGGTGGGAACGTCCGCGGTGTTGGAGGGAAGACACCGAGCGATGACGGGGTGCGGACTATTCGTCTGACATCGAGAGACAGGTCGTGTAATAGGCCGCCTCTCGACGTCCAGCGAGTCTGTGCCCCGTCGTTGCTCGGCATCCTTCTCTCGAACGCCTCGGACGTCTGCGTATTCCCTCCCTCCTGGTCGGTGTCGCCCTTTTCTTCATGGCGCCGTTGCCTGCCACGCTCCGCGTCGTTTTCACCGGAATGGACTGGGTCTCGCATTGGCGCCCACCGACTGCTGCCACCTTTCGATTTTGATCGCTCGGTTTTGGAGCATGGGCGAGTGAGTGGACGACTCGTTGCTCGCAGGTCGCAGGCTTCTGCATGGCAGCGGCGGTGGCAGGTCGAGAGAACAGGTGCCGACCGGGCTCACCATCAGAGCCAAGGGGAGGGGTCCCCTGTACGTGGCTCACAAGAACAGCCCGCCCCGCGACACGCCGCCGTCCAGCAATGCTCAGCAGCCTGCCAACCTCTGCTGGGGTGACTGCCCGGTGGTTGGCAACGGCGAGACCAGTAGGAACGGGTCTTGGAACGGGATGGGCGGTCAGGTGGAGCAGGAAGCCAGCCGAAGGGAGCACAGCGGCGATGGAGTTCAGGAGAGTGGTCCTGGACCTGGCAGTGCGAATGGCTTTGCCAATTTGCTCAAGACACAGCATGCTGGGACGTTTCCTGGCCGGTGCGGCCCAGCAGGCAGTACCCAATCGCATAAACTGGGGCAATCGATGAGCTGGTTGAAATACAACCTCGCGGGCACGCCCAGCCCCAGGAATGGTGCCAACCCTGCTGCCGTTTCCGGGATGGGGAAACTGGGTCAAAGGACTCAAATCAGATCCATGGGTCAGGTTGAACCAAGCCGGCAGCCCACCACTCGGCCTATGGTGGGTGTGCACCAGGTACCTCACACGGTGCCAGTGCATGACGGCAACCCCAAGGACCCCTTGACTCCACGTGGGGCCCGTAGCAAGGGACAGACGAACACTGCAAGCAACCAATCGACAGGCATGCCAAGTTGGACGATCGTCAGAAAGAATGGGAAGACTGGCGCTGCAAATGCGGACCAAGATGGCAGCGCCCCAAGGGCGGCGATCCCAAAGAGAACGTCCACAGCTTCAAGAACACCCACTGTTGCACAACCTGCCTTGTTGCGTCCGGTGCAAGGCGCCCTGGCCACACCGAGGGCTGCGAGCATGCCAAGTCCGTTGCGCCATGCCTGGCAGAGCGAGGTGGACAGTGCTGATCGTGGCATGGGAATGCTCCAGCAGCGCAGTGCGCCGGTCGGTGGTCAGCGACGAGTCGAGCAGGTGCATCAGCCTCTTGGGCCTAAGGTCATCAGTGAACCAAGTGAAAGAGACTTTTGCCGCCACTCAGCGCCTGACTTGAATGGCAGCGGCAAGCCACAGATCCCCACCCTTCGAATGGATAGGAAGGTGTCATCGATGGACAATCCCAAGACGGCGGCCCCAACAGGAAGCCCACAATGTCTTGCCTGTGTCTCCAGCGTACTTTCGCAACCAGGGAAACTCGATGCAGATAACGGTTCGCTTCCTGGTTGCCACCTGGCTGGTGAGGGCTCCCTGCATTTACAAGGTACCCTCTCAGGAGAGCATGTCATCCATGCAGTTCTGCACAGGTTGAGATAACGGCATCTTTGCACTGTATAATTGTCAAAGCAGTTTCTTGTTCCTGCACATTCTATCAAAGAACGCATGGCTGGGCCAGCACTGCTGGAGAACCGCTTGAGGTTGGATTTGTTGACCTTGTTTCGATGTTGACAACCGCCCTGTGAGTGCATCGAGCTGGTTCTGGTCGATTCTGTCATGAGCATTGACTTGACATCCACCTGTGCTGTAGGTCCTGGGGCGTACAGGGATGCAAGCAATGGCTTTCCAGACCGAGTGGAGCAGCAGCCGAAATTCAGTCCCATCGCGGCACAGCTGTGGTCCCGGCAACAGACCGACACAAGCTGGGGGGATGAGTTACCAGTCTGGGACTCGGAGCCCAATGGACACAACAGCTGTTCCTCGACTGGTACCACAGCCTCAAGCTTATCCTTGTCAGGGGATGAGCATGGCAAGAAAGCTGGAAAGAGGCGCAGCCGAAACAAAAGCTCCAGAAGGGGGGTCCGTGTTGCATCTGGCATCCCTGGTGCTGATTTTGTTGACACACCAAGCCCGCCACCTACGGCATTTCACAGTGGCCCAGGCAGTGTATCTGCACTGAAGCGCAGCGCCAATGGATACGATGCTGATGTTGGCATTGGAGCGGCAGTGCCTCTCGGGATTGTCCAACGAGATGTCCAAAGCAACGGTGGTGCTTCTGTCAGGGTTCGGCTGCAAGGCTCGGCATCTGCAGGGTTCACAGGCGCTGGCATCAACATGAATGCTTTTGTGTTGGGCCGGGCCCACACTACTGGGGTCGGGCAGCTTCCATTCCCTGGGAGCTACCTGCAGATGCCATCGACTCGATTCAATGCCGCAAATGGAAAGGAGAATAGTCATGGGAGTGGGGTGTTGTTCAGGCGGCCCCAGTCTCCATCTGTGACGGCTGCACTCATGGACCTCTGCTCGAATGATTTCTCGGGCAGCGGCACCCGATATCACGAGCGGGGTTTTACGAACTTGGGGAACACATGCTTTGTCGGCAGCGCCTTTCAGCTGCTTCTGGGCAGCAGCAGGTTCTGTTGGCTTCTGAAGCAACTCAGCATCGTCTGTCACTGCCTGCACCCTCGTGCGCTGCCCACACTTGTTGGGCTGGGAGAGCTGGCAAAAGGCATGGCAGAGAGGAGGGGACCCAATGGTGGGCAGATAACAGTCCAGCAGGTAAAGAATGTCAGTGAACATTGGCTGTGTAAAGGGATGGTGGTAAACACAGGGAAGGTTGGGATGAATGTGCTCACTGCAACAGTGTGGCCACAGTGGAGTCAGCACTTGGCCTGGTCTTGCGCAGGGTGAGGATGGGGTGCAGGCTTCACTTAATAGCCCAGTTGTCGTTTTGTGTCACAAGCACGTGTCTCGCATCAGCCACTGTACTGGTTCTGGCTCACCCGGCTTATGGGCTTTTAGGGTGCTATATTGCTGAGGCACAATGGGGCTCAGATTACGTGGCTTGCGTGCTATCAACTTCTTCGTAGTAGTTCCATTGGTGACGACGCTTCTGTGTTGCAGGGCGCTCCTGGGTCGGGTGTGGCTCGGTCTTGCAAGCCAATGATGCCAACAATGCTGTCTGCAGTGGTCAACGGATTCCAACAGCGTCATTCCCAATCGGCAGATGGGGGCCATTGCGAAGAACACGATGCTCAGGAGTTCCTCCTTTACTTGCTTGAGCAGGTCGAGGTGGAATTGGTGATCCTGAAAGAGGCTGTGGCCGATGGGGATGGTGAGTCTTTGACACCTGTTGGAGTGGCGCATGGCCTTCTGTAGCCTCGAATCAACCAACTTTCCAGAATGCGTGAGGCCAGCAGTCCCAGCGCAGTGCGATCTGAGAATCCCGAGCAGCCAGGACATGGCGAAGATCGCCCTTCTTCGCCAGCACGTTGATGTGGCGACGTGTGTGTCACGCACGCAATTGCGAGATGGTGCCTCTACTTTTTGTCACTTGCCTCTTTGTGTTTCGCATTCAGATGGCCCAGGCCCCAGGCAAGGAAAGCAGGAGGAGAGCGACTGGGAGGCCGCTGGGCGCAAGGGCAAGTCCTCGACCAAGCGCCCGGCTGGCAGCCAAGCGGAGACAATGCTGTCGGCCATCTTTGGCGGGTCCGTGCAGAGCGAAGTCAAGGCATCGGGGATGAAGCCCTCCGTTGTCGTTCACCGCTTCACGGCCCTGGACCTTGACATTGCGCCCTCAACAGTGCAGACCATTGAAGACGCTGTGCAACTCTACACTGAGCCCGATCACTTGACAGGTAGGCTGCTGTCGGCTGTTGTCTATGCCCAGGGGGAGGCGCTAAATCCGAGGTGCCCTTCCGTTTCCACAATACGGCTCGGCTGATGGCACTTGTCGACACTAATTGGGGCCTTTGAAAAGGTGGGGTGCGCATGCATGCCGCCCACTTGCTGTAGTGCATCAACCGTATTGCTTGTTACATCTTACCGCTGTGCTCCCAGCTCAAAAGTCTTCGTGATGCATTTGGCAAAGTTGAATACCAAGAACGCACAAAAATCGTTCAGTATACATATATTAGGACTATGCCATGTCTTTGCCAATTTCAGCGCTGTGGGGCGACTGCAGGCAAATACTACAATTACTACATTTATACTACAATTACGAAGTAATTGGCGCACGAAATAAGGGGCCCTCTGCAAAATGTGCTTCTCCCCTCAGAAAGTGGCTGTAGAATGCAGCCCAGTGTACATGTGGCCTGCGTGCTCATTTAAGATGGCCTCACGTGTGCGCCATTGCTTGGCTGCAGACTACAAGCCGACGGACTCCAGCCAACCGCAAAGGGCGACCAAGGCGAACCGCCTCCGTGACCTGCCAGAAGTGCTGCTGGTCAGCCTCAAGCGCTATGCCTACACTGCTGAGGGGCTGCAGAAAATTGACAAGCCCATCGCGTTCGGAGCCGTGCTGTCCATGCAGCGCCAGTGGCTAGCGGATACCAAGCCGTCCCGGGTGGGCTACCGGCTGGTGGCAACGTGTAGCCATCATGGAAAGGGATATGGAGGTACGTTTGGCGTAAGAAATGTTGTGTGGGAATGCACGCTCAAGCGGCCGGGGAATGCGTGCAGAGCCCCATTCTGCATTGAATTTGCTTCATGATTGACATGAATTGCGCACGTGACTGGTCCGGGACATGTGGACACTGTTGACGATGTGATGCAATGGACATGACGGTATTCTCTGCTGAACCAACAACAGTGCAATGGAGTACATGCCGTTCATGAATGGCCGTTCGCGTTGGCCGCTTCCGCTTTGCAATCTGTCACTTTAATCAACGGTTTTTGGGCGGAACTAGCGTGATTGTTTAGGTGCAATTGGCGATCGGCAAAGTGACAAAGTTCAGTGTGGGGCGGCGCGGGCGGCTTCATGCAGGCGTCGTGCAACAAACCCGTCCTGTGCCATGGATTGCCGATACTTTTAACTTCAGGGTAAAGGATACGGAAGAATCGGAAGTAGATTTGGGGTATCGTTACTTACCGTTGCTTAGGGTTGGTCCTTGGGCCAACACCCGCCTCACTGCATCCGTCTGGTTGTTTGCAGGAGACCACTATACCGCCAACGTCCTTCAGCCAGTTGGCGTGTGGCTCAACTTCAACGACTCCCTCATCAGCCAACTTGCGTGGCGGGATGTTGCTGACGACGCTCCATACATGTTGCTGTACGAAAAAATGCCAAAGTGAAATGATTGTTAATGCAAACGACAAGGGCTGTATCAACAGGGGAGAAGAGGACTGCCTGGTCGATTTTTTTTATCTGTGCAGCGCTGATGATCTCTAAAGGTGTGGCGTTGTGGTTTCCGGTAGGGAGGCCAAGTGGTCGCCAGCTCTGGCGACGTTTTGGCTCAGGGATGTTGTCTTCCCTTTCTTTCGCCTTGGGATTCTTTGCATGGTGGGATTGGTGTTGGCATGCGTTCGCATTGTGCCTTCGGGGTGCTTCTGTAACGATGGCAATTGAAATCACGACCGCCCACGGGAGTAACGCATTCTCGTCACGCGACAGGACAAGTCAGAAAGAAAACTGAAATTCACAAGTAGACATCCCGGTCTGGGCTGCCCCTGCCTGTCCCGCCACCGGCTCCCAGCCTGGCGCCATCCATGAACCGCAGTTCAAAAACACTGCAGCCTTGTGCAAACGCAGATACTCGCCACCAATAACACAGATCCGCATACCCTGCGAGATGCCGTTCCACCCACTGACCGGTGCCTCCCATGCCAGCGATGTGTCCGTTTCTGAGTTTCTCAAGATCGTTGGGAGGCAATGCCTGCCTGTGGCAGGCTACCTCCGCCTGGTGCCACAGAACCTGGGCGCTCGTGAATGCTCGTCGATGTGCAACACATAAGTGAGGCTCGTTGATGCGCAAACGCAAGGGCCAGGACGCGCTGCAGAAGGCAGCAAACCCAGGGCACCAAAAGCCAGGCAGATCGCGGCAGGTCGATGAGTTCCAAGAAGATAGCACGTAAGTTGTCTTCCCCCTACTGCCAAAATCGAGGCTGGAGGCCCACACAACCACAACAAATGGTGGCCCGACCGCAAGAGATGTACGCCAACGCCAGCCTAGCTTCCACAGCGCCAAATTCGACGGGTCCCGCAGCGTGCAGCGAACACACCGCAGCGCTCCGGAAACAACGCCCTTCCACCAATTGTACCAAAAAAATGCAAAACTTCAACTCAATATCGCATCGGCCAAATATGCAATTGCCTCCGTCGTCCGATCACAACGGTGGCCGCAAATTGCCCCCACGACAGCCAACACCATCACCCGTCTCACATCCAGGGCTTCTCCGCCTTGGCCGCAATCCGCCGAGGTGGCTTGCTGCCCCTCGAGCCCCTCCCCAGCACCCTCGCCCCCCTCCTGCCGCCCTCTTCCGCCTTTCGCGTCGGCGACCCACTTCCCCTGGACCGCCCCGACATCGGCGACCTCCTCCCCCCCTCCTCCCTGAAAACCGGTGATGGCGATCCCCTGCCACGTGCCGACCTCCTGGCCTCGTCCCCCTTTGGCGTCAGCGACAGATCACTCCCATCGAATGCCGATCGAGCCGAGGCACCATCCCTTGTGGACCCCAGGCCGCCCACGTATGCTGACAGCGATGCGTCTGTGGCCGCTGCCGAGCTGTGAGGAGACGCATCGGAATCTGCTGACCGCGGTGTGCCAGATGTCACATCGAGTTTCACGGCATCCTGCTTTGAAGCAACCGCCCCATCGAAGGACTGCGTGTGCCTGTTCCCAGAAGGGATGCCTGCATCCAGCACCTGCCTCTGCCCTCGCAGAGACGCCTCCTGGGCGTCGAGTGATCCACCCCGCGATCGCGATGAAACGCCAAGGGAGCGCGAAGACCGCCCTGGGGACACTGTCTGCGTCGAGTCTGTGCTGGCCCTCGGATTCTCAACAATGATCCTCCGGCCCGCGCCCTTAGGCGTGACATCGCCCCTCTGCCAAACGGGCAGCCCCCGAGCAGCCTGCGCCATCAGCACATCGTCCCCAGGCATGCCCTGCCCCTTTAAAACCCTGGTTCCCTTGGGCCCGGTCCTGGTTCCTTGGGGTACGGGCTGTTCCACGCCGATGGTCCCCAGGTGCCCAGGGCCGGGCCCCCTCTTCTGGATCTTCGAGAGGGCGATGGCGCGGGCGGCAAGGCGGGGCGTGGCGGACGGACTGGTGGACTGCGGGGGCGCGGACCTCGAGGAGAGGATGTTCAGCTGATCGATGGCGTTCTGAGGCTCGTCCAGCAGGGCTGCGACCTCGGCCTGCTCCACGGCTGCGATGCGGCGCTCCTTCTCCGCCAGCTGGCCCTTGAGGCCCTCCGCCACACTGCGCAGCTCCTTGACCTCGTTGCGGGCCTGCTCGTTGTCCGTGGCAAGGTCGGAGGCGATTTGGTAGACCTGTTGAGGACACAGAGCTCGTTTCGACAAGCAATGTGCTGGCAACCACGGTGGTGTGCAACTCTTTTGCCAAAGCAATGAATAGTGAACATGCGATGAAACTCAGCACCGCCAGGCAAGTTGAACATGTTTATATTCTCACGGAATCAGTGAAGAACAGGCAAACCAAAGTGGGCTGCAAACCCAGATGCCGCACAGAGCCTTGCGCGTTAGGGGAAATGGATTGAAGCAGATGCGCAACACATTACACAAGTTCCTGTAACCTGCGTCGCTTTCCAATGGAGACTGTATTGCCAACGCTTTTTCTGATCATTGACATATGTGATTGCAAAGACAATTTCAAGCAATAGACTTTGCATGAACTTAGCTTTGTGGGCCCAGCACAATGCAAGTGGAGAATGCACCAACAGCAATACCAACACACTCAGCCAGCGCACCCATGTAGGGGAAGGGACGATAGTAACACTCTTTGGAGGCCAACAGCAATGTTCACCAGAAGCGCCCAAGATCGTAAACTACAGAGCGTTAACTGCCTGGGGGGGCAGCTTTTGACGGCTCAATGCCTTGTCCAGTTTGGGAATTGATATCGCTTGCAGGTTTCAATGAAAGAGCAGCGTTCTGTACTTTAGACTTCACTGGAGCCTCTCCTTGGATGGCGATCGATCACACATTTCACACGTGCAATCAGTAACGACCTGGGTGTCATGATCGGGGTTTGTATTTATGAAGAGGGCCAAGTATCTTGCCTGAAGGAACTGCTCAGTAAGGTCGCTGACAGTCGCATCACGCTCCTGCAGCAGCTGCTGCGTGGTGGAAGCAGCTCGCCGGGCCTCCATCAGCTCCGAGGTCACCACTTCCTGCCTGTTGGCCATCTCCACCGAGTTGGCGGTCAGCTCCATCACCTCCTGAGCTGCCAGCATCACCTGGTCAGTGAGCGCCGTGCTCAAGTCCTGCGGCCAGCTCGCCCGCCTCTGGCCCATCGGACACAGCTGGCTGACGGACGGCACCCGCTCAGCAGCTTGCCCATAGGCTATGTTCATCCCCCACGCCTGACCCGCCACCTGCCCAAAGGGATCTGCTGAATAGCATGACCCCTGGGCATTCATGATTGGCGTTCTGTACCCCATGCCTCGGTGCGTAGGAGTTCTGTAGCCCATGCTCTGCCTACTGTCCGCCCCTGTGCCACCCTCACGTCCCGTCAGAGGCCCATTCTGGGAGGGGGACTCGCCAGGGCCCTGTCGTGCACTGCCCTTCGACTGGGCACTCTCGAGCTGGCGGCACTTGTCATGGAGGGCCCGGTAGCGCGACTGGGCCACCTCGAGGTCTGCCCTCAACACTTGCACTTCGGACTCGTGCTCCTCCTGGGAGCTCTGCAGCAGTGGCCCCCCGTTGTAGGGAGATCCATCAGCGTGACCAGCAGACTGGTGGCTGGGAACAATGGCCCTGTCACGATGTTGTGTGCTGGCATCGCCCTGTTAGCACCACATGAATTGATTTTGGTCCTGCTTGTTGTGTAATCACAGGTGCCTCTTTGCCGATGTTGACAGTTGTTTGACTACACAAGGGTGTCAAGTGGTTGTGGTTTCCGGTCGCCACCTGGATTCCCCTGGGTAATAAACTACCGTGGTGCCTGTGTTGCTAATCGTAACAAGTAATCGGCAGCCCCACATTGGACCCAATGTCTGAGCACCAGATGGATACTGTCAGACAGCCATTGCCTTTACTGCACAATTCTACGGTTTGAAAAGCGCCTGTCACCACATGGTTGCTGCAACTGCGTTGTGTCAAAAATCTGTCAGTGATGACAACATGGCACCATTGGAAAGTATGATCAATATGATCAAGGTACAGGGCCAAAGTCCACTTCCTCTATCCCACGGCAAATGTCCCCTGCGACTTTCCACAGTTATTTTGCGCTGATAGCTGCCCAGATATTTATTAGGGAAAATGACAAAAGGGGGGCCTTTGTGAGATATCTTGACAAAAGGGGGTCCTCTCTGACAAAAGGGGGTCCTCTGCGGGGTTGCATTTGAGAAAGGGGGGTCCTCTGACCGCCCCTTCTATACATTAGGCGCGTTGCCAGACCGGTGCCAGACCGGCGCCAGACTGGACCACGGTCCTACTAGGGGCGACCCCTCTGGGTCGCAGCTTGGTCTCCCCACAGACCTGATCGCCACTTGGTCCCCCCCCCCAGCTCCGATCGCTGCGACTCCCGGAGCTCCGACCGTTGTGTGCTCCTTGTGCCCTCGCATGGGGGTCGCCCCCAGTAGGACCGTGGTCCAACCTGGTGCAATACTGGTGCCGGCATGGCGTCAGTCTGGCCTGGTATGGTGCCAGTCTAGCAACGCGCCTAATATACAGGAGGTGGACAGAGGACCCCCTTTTGTCAAATGCACCCCCACAGAGGACCCCCTTTTGTCACAGTGGGCCCCTTTTGTCAAGATATCTCACAGAGGACCCCCTTTTGCGATTTTCCCTATTCATTAACATTCTTCACGTTCAGTCCCATGCGCGGAGCGTGGGCCAAATTCGATGTAATGCAACTCAATGTAAAAGTGACAACACTGCATCTCCCCACTGCTCCTGCAAGCAGAGGTTCCAAGTGCACGGTTTCCTGAATAGCCCAAAGTCGCCCCGATGGGGTCGTCTCTTGAGGCCAGTGTGCCAGGTCGCGCGTTCACACTTTGCAAAGTCACCTCGTCTAAAATAATTGCACTAAGGTTGTTGAAATGGGCTGTGAAAGGGTCAATCGGCGATCGTCGCCTGATCGCCGGATTTTCACCCATTGGAGCGCCTTGCAGCTGACGTACTAAATGTTTCTTCACAACTTTTTCCCTGAAATACGCGAAATCTTTTCTCCTCGAAAATTTTTCAGTACACAGTATAATGGAGCTATGGAGAGATTTTTCGTCAGTCTCTGGCTGGCCTTGGGGA